TATATTAAATTCAGTTAATATCAATTTTGTAACATTTTCTGATATTTTTGATAGTCGTCAATTAAGAGGAAACATTTTCTCAATTTTTGTTATAGCTATTGCAGCCGCTGAAGCAGCCATTGGATCGGCTATTGTTTCATCAATTTATCGTAACAGAAAATCAACTCGTATTAACCAATCCAATTTTATGAATAAATAGTATTTCATATAAATAGAATTGGAATATTCCTAAATTGATTCAAATTAGTGGTTTTGGACGGGTAAGATACGATCTTGGTTGAAAAAACAGAAAAAATCAAAGTATTTTGGTTTTCACTCATAAACCAATTTGGAAACCGATTAATTCGGATCATTCATTGATTCGTCTGGTATCGAGATCTAGGATTCATTTACAAGTTAGTTTACTAGACCGAAAATTTTTGATATTTAAAAACGGATAGATCTAATGTCACATTCAGTAAAGATTTATGATACATGTATAGGATGTACTCAATGTGTCCGAGCATGTCCCACCGATGTATTAGAAATGATACCTTGGGACGGATGTAAGGCTAAACAAATCGCTTCTGCTCCAAGGACCGAAGACTGTGTTGGTTGTAAGAGATGTGAATCCGCCTGTCCAACGGATTTCTTGAGTGTTCGAGTTTATTTATGGCATGAAACAACTCGCAGTATGGGTCTAGCTTATTGATACGTTCCATAAAACTCTACTTGATTCCATTTTATTGTTTTTTTTTTATCGACAAAACCTGTGCTCAAAATAAAATTCAAATATTTTGAGCACAGGTTTTTCTGGACCAAGTGTATCTTGTCTTTACCACGAATCATTTTCCTTGGTTAACAATAATTGTAGTTTTGCCGATATTTATGGGGTCCTTAATTTTCTTTTTTCCACATAGAGGAAATAGATCGACCCGATGGTATACTATATCCATTTCTATATTAGAACTTCTTTTAACAACTTATGCATTCTGTTATCATTTCGAATCGGATGATCCATTAATCCAACTAATTGAGGATTATAAATGGATCAATTCTTTTGATTTCCATTGGAGATTAGGAATAGATGGACTCTCTATAGGACCCATTTTACTGACGGGATTCATCACCACTTTAGCGATTTTAGCGGCTTGGCCAGTTACTCGAGATTCGAGATTATTCCATTTCCTGATGTTAGCAATGTACAGTGGACAAATAGGATTATTTTCTTCTCGGGACCTTTTACTTTTTTTTCTCATGTGGGAGTTCGAATTAATTCCTGTTTATCTACTCTTATCTATGTGGGGAGGAAAAAAACGTTTGTACTCGGCTACAAAATTTATTTTGTACACGGCGGGGGGTTCTGTTTTTCTTTTAATGGGAGTTCTGGGTATCAGTTTATATGGTTCTGCTGAACCAACATTAAATTTCGAAACATTAGACAACCAGATCTATCCTGTGGTCTTGGAAATAATATTCTATATTGGATTTTTTATTTCTTTTGCTGTCAAATTGCCAATCATACCCCTCCATACATGGTTACCAGATACCCATGGAGAAGCACATTATAGTACTTGTATGCTTCTAGCCGGAATCTTATTAAAAATGGGAGCGTATGGATTAGTTCGCATCAATATGGAATTATTCCCTCATGCTCATTCTATATTTTCTCCTTGGTTTATGATAATAGGCGCACTGCAAATAATCTATGCAGCTTCAACATCTATAGGTCAACAGAATTTAAAAAAAAGAATAGCCTATTCCTCTGTATCTCATATGGGTTTCATAATTATAGGAATTGGTTCTATCACCGATATGGGACTAAACGGAGCCTTTTTACAAATAATCTCTCATGGATTTATTGGTGCTGCACTATTTTTCTTGGCCGGAACGATTTATGATAGAATACGTCTTGTTTATCTTGACGAAATGGGTGGAATTGCTATTCCAATGCCAAAAACATTCACAATGTTCAGTAGCTTTTCGATGGCCTCCCTTGCATTACCAGGTATGAGTGGTTTTGTTGCCGAATTAATAGTCTTTTTTGGACTAATTACTAGTCCAAAATATCTTTTAATGACAAAATTCCTAATTACTTTTGTAATGTCAATTGGAATGCTATTAACTCCTATTTATTTATTATCTATGTTACGCCAGATGTTCTATGGATACAAGATAGTTAATATTGCAAACTCTTATTTTTTTGATTCTGGGCCACGAGAGTTATTTCTTTCGATCTCTATTTTTTTACCCATATTAGGTATTGGTATGTACCCCGATTTCGTTCTTTCATTATCAGTTGAAAAAATGGAAGTTATTCTATCTAATTCTTTTTCTAGATAATTTTTAGAAAAAACTAAAATAAACTAAATTGGATCATTTGAAAAGTCTTCATTGTACAATGACAAAAAGAAAAGACAGACTTTTTCTTCTCTTATGTTAAGTAAAAAAAATGAAATTTGAACTGGCGAGAATTCCGCGGATGACTACAATGTTTGATTCACGAGGTTCTCGCCAGTCCACCCAAAGTTTTTTTATCTTATATGTGCTGTAAACGCTTCGATTCCTACTTGTAAGAATCACTTTTTCAATTCAATTAGATGTGAATGAAAATGAACCATATCTATGTAATCCTATTCCTAATAGATTGACTCCAAAATAACATATCCAAATTAAAAGAAAGCCAATAGACGCTACAATTGCTGAATTTGTACTCTGAAATTTGATATTTGTTCGAGTATGTAAATAACTCGCAAATATGATCCAAGTAATAAAAGCCCAAGTTTCTTTCGGGTCCCAACTCCAATAGGATCCCCATGCTTCGTTAGCCCATACTGCTCCAGAAAGCATTCCTATGGTTAAAAAGAGAAATCCTAGACTAATAACGCGATAACTCCAATAATCCAATTCTTGAATCAAGCGCGACCTGTAATAATTTGTTGCAGAAAAAAAAGAACTATTTTTGAACACATTATTTCCTTCGCTCATATATTTAATTTCACCAACGAAAAATGACTCATTTAAATTTAATAAATAATTACTCGTATAAAAAAACTGTCTCTTTTTTCTAACTGTAATGACCAGAAGCGATACTGATAATAATGATCCACACAAAAGAGCCGCATAGCCTAATATCATCATACTTACGTGCATTATTAGCCATTGGGATTGAAGAGCAGGCACTAAGATTGTGGATTTGTCTATTTCAGTAAAAAGGCCTGAAGTAGCAAAGCCCTGGGTCAAAATAGCACTTGGACCAATTATTGTGCTTAGAAGATTTGCATTTTTTTTGAAATACGGAACTATATGAATAAGGGAAAAACTCCACGAAAGAAAGATTAATGATTCATATATATTACTTAAGGGAAAATGTTCCAAATAAATCCAACGATTCATTAACAATCCTGTTATACAGGAAAAAGTTATTATCAAACCTTTTTTATATGAATCATCCAGTTTTACGATTTCATCGAGTAAAAAGGTTATCAAATAAACTATAAGTATAATTGAAACGATCGAAAAAGTAATATGGGTTAATATATGCTCTAAAGTTGAAAATATCATAAAAAATTGCCTTAATTAGAAAATCGAAATAGGAAGTTGAATTCATTATAAGATCTACTTACTTTCTTTTAGGAGATGACATGCCGCCACTCGGACTCGAACCGAGATGCTCTAGCACTGCTTCCTAAGAGCAGCGTGTCTACCAATTTCACCATAGCGGCTTGTCTTGAACTCATAATAGCTTGTGACTAAAAAATCATCTACAATTAAGAATTCAACTGAGTGCAATATTTTTTACAAATTGATGAAAAAATCCGTTCAAATGGGTATTTGAAGGTTCATTATTTTCGTTTAGGGTCTTCGTTTTATTGTATATTTCATACTTTCCTTCTTTAAAACCAGGAATTAAGAGGGTATAACCCCCTCCAAAAAAAAAAGAATTTTGGTCTTAATGAACTCTTTTTTATTTGATAAGGTAAAGAGAATTCTTCTGCTTATATATTATATATGATAAGTTTGAAAACCGTACCAAATTCCAGTTCCTGTTGAGTTAATAAACAGGAACTGGAATTTGGGGGTTTCGTTTTACAAATGGAATCAGTCAAGTTTTGAGTCAGTCCAATTGAGATTATTCCAGCGTCTTATATTATAAAGAAATAAAATATGTATTTTATTTCTTTGTCGCACAAAAACTTGTTGAATTCCCGGTAGAAAGAGATTTTCCTAAGGAAAAGGCTTTTAACGACGCCCGATATCCTTTTTTTTTCCAAAAATTTTTACGAATACGCTTTTTTGATGCAGAAGTGCGTTTTTTTGGAACTGCCATTTAAATAAAAATTAAGAGATTGCTAGCTGAATGTGAAAGACATTTATTGTTCAAAAACAATCTGCGCTTTTCGAATATTTTTTTTTTCAAAAAAAATCTTTAATTAAAAAATAGAAAAGAATGGATAAGATAAGTGAGATAAATCTAAAATTGCTCGAAAAGGAAATATTACTAAAAAGAATATTCTTCTTTTTTTTTAGTAATTTGTTAAATTGAGTAAAAATATCCCTAATTTGACTTGAATTTTCAAATTTGTAGTGGACGGATAATCAATCTCTTTAGTTTGACCAGATGGAACTTCTTGGTTTGGATATTGGAATTATTTATCAGAATAAATAAGTATAAAAAGAAATTAAAACCCAAAGATTCTATTTAAGTTATGTTAACTTAGTGTATATCTTTATCCTTTTATTGAGTCCTTTCAAAAAAGGTGAAGTCTATTGAATCATAAACAATTCATATTAATTAAGAATTCAAAAAAATTTATGGAACAGACATATCAATATGGGTGGATCATACCTTTCATTCCCCTTCCAGTTCCTATGTTAATAGGAGTAGGACTTCTTCTTTTTCCGACAGCAACAAAAAATTTTCATCGTCTGTGCACTCTTCCGACTGTTTTATTGTTAAGTCTAGTCATGATTTTTTCAACTAATTTTTCTATTGAACAAATAAATACCAGTCCTATCTA